TTCGGGACCGGCGCCGGGATGGTCAGCAACGCCGTGTGGCCGTTTGTTCTGGCGCACAAGGCGGGCAAGGTCCTGAGAGGCGCGACGGGAGGGGTTTTCTATCTTGTTGCGTTGTTGGTGCTTGCGCACTTTGCAATCTTGCCGCAGAACCTGACAAAATGGGCTGGCAGACAGGATAGGGATCGCGAAGAGAGGCAATCGTGTTTGGAAGCTGGTCAGCATAGGCGAAGGTCCGGCTCGGTTTCCATGAGGGCTAAAGTGCAGATTACTCTTGGCCTGGCGAGATCGGATATGCTGCCACTCTTCGCAGCATCTTTGTTACTTTTCCTGCAGCAGGGGGTCACGAGGACATTAGACGGATCCGTCTTTGGGACCTTTTCCCGCTTTGCGGCGACTTACGGCGTGTCCCTCCACCTCGGGACGTTGTTGGCTCGTTATTCAGTCACCTTCTACCCTCTTCGAAATCTCATGGCACCTCTGGCTGTTTTGACTGCGGTCTCCATACTCGCCTTCTTCAACGCCGTCTTTCTTGTGTCGACGAATCTCTCGTTTGCACTTGCCTTTGCGACGGGCCTGTCGAGCGGGTTGGTGTACATTAACGTTTTGGTGAGAATTATGGAAGGGACTCGAGACGCCAACGACAGAGAGTTCAGTATGGGCATCGTCACTGCTGGCGATGCGGGAGGTATGGTCGTCGGGAGTCTCTTCGGGGCTTTCCTGGAGCTCGAAATGTGCAGTTATCTCTTGAGCGGGAGGCGGTGGTGTCACAGGGCAAAGTAATTGTTTGATATATGTACATGCCGAAATAGTAATCCCGAGCCGATGAGTTCGGTTCATCACTTTCAACACAGCTTAAAGCTGATCCAACATCTTCTCGGCAGCATAGTCGACGTTTGTTCCAAAGTTCTTGGCTTGAGTCTAGGCATTGGTCAGTACAATTACCCCCGAAAACGCATGCAGGCAACTTACCTGGACATAAACAGCCCCGTCCTCGACGACGACCTCGCCGTACGTCGCATAAGACATCTTGTCCACAATGCGAAAGTGAATCTCGCCCTTGTCGACGGCCTCGTTGAAACCCTCCCTCAAAAGGTCGTCCTCGTCGAACTTTTGGTATCCCATCTGGTACACCAAGCCCTCAAAGTACATCCGCGTGAAATTGCCCAGGTTGCTTTCCCAATCATCCCTGACCTCGCTCTTCTTCTTCTTGCTCTCCTCCATGATCTTGGCAAAGTTGGTCTCGAAGTTTGGCACGAGGACGATGTCGGGCTTCTCGAGCATGTCGCCCAGCTTCTTGCGGGTCTCCTCAATCTTCTCGTCGTACTCCTGCCTGACCGAGGTGCGCGCGGCATAGCTCATGGCCGCTTCGGCCCCGGGGGCGGGCGGGGCCTCGTTGAGAGCCTTCAGCAGACCTTGTGAGTCAATGGCGTAGTCGACGTTGGTGCCGAGGTTGCCCTCGGAGAAGACGAGAGCCAGCTTGCCGTCTTTGACCGTCACGCCGCAGTACGAGACCCGCTTGTCCTTGGGACGGTCATCGAGGTCGATGATGAGGGATCGGGTATGGCAGATTGAGTTGATCTCGTTCTTACCTTCCTCGCCGTAGTTCTCTGTATAAGACTTGAGGTTGTAGATGGCGGATGTAATGTACCTACTGAGTGTTAGTAGGTGATGCATGATTCGACCGTTGGCAACTCACTGAGCTATACAGCTGCCGAGAGACTGCTTGGCGTAGCCATCACCGGCGTACGGGTAGAGCTCGTTCGGGTTGATGTCGTTCAACGTCCACTCGGCGCCAAGGACGTCCGAAAGCTGCTTCTGGAGGTCTTCTTTCTTGCTCTCCCAGTCATCGCGGACTTGGCTGTTAGCGGTGAGATTTGAAGTTGGGGACCATCACATACTGTTCTTGCGGAGCGCCAAAGGCAGTTTTTCGGCAGCGGGAAGACGAGACATTTTCAAATTTGTTTTCTTGATGAGCCGGATCAGATGAGCGAGTTGCTGCTGTATGTACCAGAACGGCGGTGATGAAGCGGCCTTTTATCCTGACATTCCCGCTCTCGTTGTCAACAATCGAGGTCTAGCTCAAGGCATTCCATCTCCTCTCTCAATCAGCCTCTTTTTTCAGCTCTCTGACGATCATTTCTCCAACATTGATCTTGGCCCGTCAACGGCCGCCGCGAGGTCCATCGCAAGCTCCGCGATACAGTTCTCACCCTAGCCTGGGCGGCCGAGTTAAGCTGCTTTGAACCTAGATCTCGCCCTACCCCTTTGACAGGTACGCGAGCAGTCAGCCTAGCGACCCGCCTCGTGGTTCAAGCGCTGCGAAATCCCCGCGGTCTTTTCCACATGTGGACATGATGAAGGTGAAGTTTGCTGGTGGCGCAGAGGCTAAAGGCAGCTTTCAGGGGTTCAAGTACAGGGCGCACCCAGCTGTGGGGGCGGTTGAGTGCGCTAATTGTGCTGAAGTCTTCAGGCAGCAAAGTTGGCGACTTCATCAACACACGACACGAAAATGACCACATCCAAGTGACGAAGATATTTGCGTCGCATCGTGACCTGGTCACGGGACAGATCGATTTTCTCGGTGGTTCGAAGTGTGAGTCAGTGACATCATTCCGGCTCTGCTCACTGCATGTCGGACCGGACCGCGGCGATGGTACGAACGCTCAGCTCAGGCCCGTAAAGGCCCGCGGCCCCGGCTTGGCCCGGTTCAGGTACCGGGGGTGTTGTCGAAGAGTTGAAACCCGGTGCAACCTGCCTTGACACCAAAAATGGCCCTCAAAATGGCATGTTCGCAGCAACGCACCATTCCCCGCGCGAGTCCCCACCCGCTGATCGCCGATGGTCAGGCTGCCTTGATCATGCAATCTGGTCCAGCCATGGCAGTTGCACAACGCTTCGACGGTCTCTTGTGTGTCATTTTGCGTCGGCTCCGCCTCGTTGCCTGGCAGGAGACCTGACGCCACGCCTTCAGCTGGGTCTGTCCGCTCATCTTGGCGTCTGGGGTGGATTGTGGACTGACACGAGATGGTGAACCCCTGTCATTGCGAAGTCTCGAGAAGTCAATATCAACCGTCGACAACTCGCCTTTGGGCAGAGAAGAGAGACTCTTGTCATCATCAGAACATTCACAACACACAAGCATATTCGTTGCGTACAAACATTGACAACACTACGCTATTCAGTATGTCTAGTTTGTGAGTATCCCGCGATGCCCTCTCAGGACCCACCCGCAACCGAGCGACTAACACGATCTGCAGACCACTCAAGGCCAAGGTTGCCATCCGCGACCACTGGACAAGCGAGGAGAGCCAGCTCCAAAAGGCACTCAAGGAGATGAAGAATATCCTCGGCCTTGATATCGATGTCGAACCAGACTGGCAACTTTTGCTGGCCGAATTGGACACCGTCTACTCTGACAAGGGCGATTTGGTTGCCGCCTTGGCCGGCACTGTGGAGACCTGGACCAAGGCCGCGACAGACCTCCTCGATGACGACAAGAACGCGGACTGGACCGAAATCCTGCTGGAAAAGCTCAAGGCCACCTATATCAATCTCCGCCTCTTCATCGAGGTAAGCTCAAACCTGCCGTCTCCATGAATGATTCATCTAACATAAGGCTAGGTTTCCCGCGACGACCAGGCATCATCGGCGTGGTCCGACGAGCGGGGCGGCTTCATCATTGCCCTGCCGAGACGCCAGCTCAACCACCCCGCAGAGCTCTTCCCCCTCTTCCAGGGCGAGATCAAGGAGTGCTTCTCCGACAAGCACCACCTCCCGCCATCATACACCATTTCCCCGCGGATGTCGGGCGACGAGTGGGCCGACGTGGGGTTGGACGTGCGGGCTGGCCACCTCTCTCTGAACGACAGAGAGACCTCTGCAAAGACGACGACGGGGCCGGACATCCTCCCCCGCGCGGATTCTCTGCCCCGCCCCGACGATCTGCTCAGCAAGCCCCCTTATCACTTGTTCGTGTACGCCCGCGGCGCGCACGAGATCGAGGTCCAGTGTAGCCACAGCGGTACTCTCAAGTTCTTGTCCGAGTACTTTAAGAAGTGGCGCCGCGTGAACCACCAGCTCAGCACAAAGGTATGCCCATCAACGTATATTTGGAAGACGGCTGCTAAAATACATTGCAAAGCCCCCCGCGGTCGAGGTCAAGCTCCATCAGTGCGCCTTTGGTCTTGGCGCCATCATCGACCGGCTGGTGCTGGTCGCCGAGAACAGGAGCGGCACCTTCACCGTCACGCCAACGATCGTGCTCTCCCTCGTCGAGGGCGTCCTCGGGTACAGGCAGGTATACGCTGACGCACACTCCTGGACGTACCGGAGGGATGTTGAGCTCAGATCTTTGTGATGATGTGTGATGATTTTTGTGTTTTTTGGAGTTCGGACGGAAAAGGGGCAAGACGACTGTAACTCTGTTGCGGAAAGGGGCATGTTATGGTTTAATGATTGTACTGCATAGTAGACTTGTAGACTAGTCAGGATCGGCTCCCTTGGACATCCGGCCGAGTATGGATGGTTAATAAAGATGAAAGCTTTTCGTTTTGCATGAGATCAGATGATGGGACGAGTTGTTGTGCCTGGACTCCGAAACTCCGCTCCCCCGCGGACCTGGTCCCTGTTTCTTTCGGGGCCTTGCCACCGGCCGCTGCCGGAGCACGGACATCCACAGTCTCGGTGCTCTCGGCCACGGCATCGGAGCCGGCGGGTCGGCGTAAAGAAGCATGGCGCAGTCAACTCGTCCCGTTTCTCACCCTGCGAAAGAACCTTGTCGGAATGACTGGTGTATTTTGGCTTTCATGCGCTCTATCTGCCATCATCCGTTTTTTGGATGACCTCTCAGCCTCTCCCAGGCTTCGCCTCAGTGGAAACTTTATGTGTGGTGTTGGGTGCTGTATATCTGATGCTTGGCCTGCCTTGCCAGCCAGCGATTACTGCAACTTCCTAACCCACAAAAGCCTGTTGAACCATTCCGCTAGACGTACAACCACAAAATGCACTTCGACCCAGAAGCCTACAACCTGAAATGCTACCAAATGACCGACGAAGCCCTACTGGCCAGAAGAGCACATTATGTCCGCCAGCTAGCGAGCGGCTCGACGGGGGCCGCGCTGCACACCGCCGCGGGCGCCGCCACGGCCGGTCTGACCTGGCTGATGGTACCGTACGACGCGGCCCGCATCCGCAACGCGCGGAGGAAGCGGCGGATCCTCGAGAAGCACGCCGTCGAGCGCGGGCTCACGGTCAAGACGAAACGCGGAGACGTGCTGATCCCGATGGCGCTGGGCGTGACGCTCGGCGCCGTCGCGTTCGAGGGGGCCGAGATGTGCGCGGATGCCGTGGTGGCGGACACGGGGGGTTCGAAAGAGGTTGTCAAGGGGGTCGCTCATCTCGGGCTCGACGCGGGCGTGGCTGCGGTTGAGCATGCGCATGCCAAGAACGAGAAGACGAAGTCCGAGAGGTGGAGGTGGAAACGTGGGCGGCACGAAGCTTCCCTCGGTGAGAAGTCGGAAAAGTAGGGCGGCGGCAGCTCTCGCTAGCCCGGTTGGGTGGCAATCCGAAGCATTGCCGTCGTCGTCGTCTTGCGCAGCGTGTGCGTGGTTGACTCGTACAAAGTAGTCGTAGAATTCAATCATGAACATTGCGATCCTCAAAAGATGTCTTCAGTGGTCCGCGATTCGCCTGGTTTGAGTGTTAGCTCGGTGGGCCCAACGGCAAACCAACAAAAATAACCTACGATGCAGCCTCATCGGGCAGAGCGGCGGCAACACCACACAAAACCGCAGATTGTGGGCACGAGAACGACGGTGAGGGCGGCGACGAAGCATCCGACCTTGAGGCGCTCGGCCTGCCTCAGCCGCTGCCTCTCCTTCTCCTCCTCCTCTTCGTCGTCGATGATGGCCCACTCATTCTCCTTGCTGTAAATCATGGGATGCCTGCTTGCTTTGGGCTTGTACATGGTGGGCGTCGTTATTTGCTTGGTGTTGATGGAAAGGTTCGCTGTTCCTTTTTTGCTGTGATTTTGAAAAGTTGGTGGGAAGTGAAGAGAGAGGAATTAAAGAAAAAGCTTGTCCTCTGCAGAAATAAGGGTTTTCGCCTTATCGAAGTCACTTCTCACACCTAGATGCAACAGCCTGAAAATTGCAGATGTAAACAGAAAGGGCCCGATCGGTGAGATCCATTTTCATGTGGGCCACCCGGCCTGAACGCCTCTTTGATGGAGACGTTTCAAGGATCAATGTGTCACTTTTTTTTTTAGCGATAAGACGAGAAGCAGGTGGGAGAGGCTGGTGACCAATCCAAGGGGGCGGCGGACATGCTTCGCGCAATCTTCACCGACCGCAGTCGAGGGCTTGGGAAAGGGGGGCGGCATGGCCTTGTCGCGTGTTGGCGAGATTGGCGTTGATTGGGCCGAAATAGGAGTCATCAAGACCTTGAGGATTATCTGAGGCGATACACACGTGTATCAGGGACGAATGACAATCAGACCACGGGCCGCGAGTTGCGAATCTCATGTGGCTGAATGGAGCTCTCGACGGAGCCCACCCACCACCGTGCGTTCAGTGGTTCAGAGGCGTTCCGTTGGGAGCTTGAGCGAAAAAAAAATCATTCAGCCCTGGAGTGAGAGAGCTTTGAGTCAATCTAAAGTGGGCTGTCGCCGAGGCGATGTGGGACCCTGGATCGACCAGGATGCCTTAGGGTGGACAGGCATTCGCAGGGCCGGGATCGTCAGGGCTACCTAGTCTCGGTAGTGGCCATTCTTGACCGAGTCACCGAGCCTCACCGAGGTGACTGCACCTCATTTACCTTGGTGTCGCCACCAGCGTTCGATGCCACAGTGAAGGGCAAGAGCATTCTGGGTCCTTGCGTCTACAGCAGAGCCAGTACAAACGGCCACACCCCCCGGCAAGAGTATCCCGACTAATGAACTTGGTAATGATTATACGTTCGGCTCCTGCCTCTGGCAGACTTGAAGCTGAGAGCGACGTCTGACGGTCAGCACTTGTGCGTCCACGGAAAGATGAGTTCCCCAACAGTAACCCAATCTGACTGGACCCTTCAGTTATATTGAGCACAAAGTCGCCACGTGCATCCATCTAGATGCGGATCTTCGTTGGTCTTGCTCCACGATCTGTCATAGCCCCAGACCGCTCGATTTGACAGCTCAACATGGCTGCACGGCGTTTCTCAATGGCCGTCTTACATTGATGAAAATGCATAGGCCTATGAGAAATATCTTGTCAAGACATGTTCCGAGACATGCCAGCTGGAGAACTTCTCAAAGGCAACTTCTTCCGAGCGATGCTGGGCTCACCGCCTCCAGCTGAATCTCTCAACGTACAGACTTCAACGTCCGTTTACAAGATGGCATCTAGCCTTTGGCTACCTTTGGACTCCTATAAAGATGGCTGAATGCTATCTCGAAATCACTGCTTCCTCTCAGGCTCATATGCCCCAGCTTCAATCATTTTGCCAACATGAGGACTGCCGTCGCCACGACCATCTTCGCGCTCACTGGCCTCGCCACGGCCACTTGCCATGGAAACAACTGTGCCAGGGCCATCACTGGCTTCGGACCTCACGTGAAGCCCGACATTGCTACCCGCATAGGGGACTGCTCTGACTTCATGCGTGCCACCGTCAGCCCTGATCCATCGTAAGAGGCCCCTCCTGACGGACGCTCTCCACTCACACAAACAGCACCACCACCATCACCGAAACCTACCCTACAACCGTTACCAAATACACCACCAATGGGCAAGCCGCAAAGCGATTTGCCGTTGCGGAACCGCTGGTCAACCCCATTGCCCCTCGTGCTCCCGTGACGATTTTCCCAAGCGTCTTGCCCTACTACGCCACCAAAGTGTGTGCTGGCACGTCCGAATACTCCTCTGTATGCAACTGCTGGGCAATCACTCCAACCGTAACAACCCTGGCAACGCCCATTGTGCCCATAACCACGACTACGACCGTAACCGTGACGGTGGATTCCACTTGCGAGACGGCGGCCATCTGCCCATTCAACAAGGTCAACACCTTCCCCTGCAAAAAAGGGCAGAAGAAGGGCCCGCGCTGCGCTTGCCTCAAGGGTGCAGTCAACAAAGACCTAAACATCTGCGTCCAGAACCTGGACTGCAAGAAGGCTAAGACGTGCAAATCCTCGGACAACTGCGAACCGGATGAGGGCTGTGTTCAGCACCATTGCTGCGGTAACAAGAAGACGAAGATCTGCCTCAAGTATGCGCCGGGGAGCTGCTAAAAAAATGGGCTGCCCGCGGGCAATCTTTGAGGGAAGAGACGAGCCGCTGATCGAAAGGGGCAAAGGAGGCTCGCCGCAGGGGGGTACGGCATTCGGCCTGGAGGAAGCTGGGCAGAGTTGGGACTGATCGATAGAGGCCTTTGGAATCATCACAGATTGGGGGACTTCCGTAGATTCATCCGCTTCCGTAGATTCATCTGGAAACCACCTGACATCCTACCTTCCCTTCCAGCGCACTCTGCTGGCGTACTGTGCAAACTTGACCACCTCGTCCTGCTCGAGCAGCAGCTCGACGGTATAGTAATGCCTCGCCAGATCCTCATGTCCCGCGAAACGATGCACGAAGGAGTGGCAGAGCCGGCACAGCCAGGCCACGTTGTTCAGCTCGTCCTCCCGGTGCCACCCCCGCTTGACGACCTTGTCGTGGACCATGCGCGGGATGAGATGGTGGTACGTCAGGCCGATCCAGTCGCGGCCGCACAGCTCGCACCCGTCGACCTGGTCCCTCGTCGAGCGCGGCGGCGGCGGCGCTGCCGTCAGGGCGGCGACGTACTCGGTCAGAACCGGCGCGAGGAACTCGTGCGCCCCCTGTCGGTCCGGGTCGATGATGTTGTAGGCCACCAGGGACTCTGATACGTCGGGCGAGAGCGTGGGGAGGAGATCCGCCACGTCGGAGCCGGTCAAGGGCAAAGAGAGGCGGGATTGAAGGGCCGGGTCTGCGGTGTATGTGACGTGGGAGAGGGCTTTCAGGTCTTCTGGAAAGGACTCGAAGGCTTCAGAGGCAAGGTAGGAGCTGAAGTCGATCATGTCGTCCGCGTCGACCGGGGTGTCGTCTGCCCCATGTTGTGATTTGGCTGTTGGTGGCGACGATTTCGCCTTTTTGGTGCGCTTCTTGGGTTTGGAAGCTGGCTTTGTGACCTTTTCAACAATGGCGGCAGACAGGCAATCCCTGAACGTATCGAACTGAGTGGTTTCCTCGTCGGAGTTCTTCATCCTGCTGGCCGCCCAGGTTGACGTGAGGTGATGGAAAAGTATCGATGACGTTGATTCGACGTTGCCATGACTTTTCTGTTTTTAGTGAACTTTAGGGCTGCACGGCTGTCACTGCAGGGATTTTAAAGTGCTCAGACGCCCCGTTCCCCCGCGATTTAGTGAGCGGGTCGTCACGAACTCCCTAAAGCGTTCAGACGACGTCCCATCTGACGAGCTCGACAAGATATTTCACGAAGATACTTTACTCATTGAAAGGGAAGATGGCTTCAGAAGGAAAGAAAGTGGTCATCGCGTTTGACCTTTACGGCACGCTGCTGTCGACAGAATCGATTGCAACCGAACTCGCCCAGTTATACGGAGAGGAGAGCGCTAAAGAGCTGGCTGCGCAGTGGCGGAGGTACCAGCTCGAGTACACTTGGCGAATCAACAGCATGGGTGTGTTTGAGTATATGTGAACGACGATTCTTTGGCTGACACAAATAGGAATGTACCGCTCATTCTCTGAGCTTACGCGCGCGGCATTGATGCATGCCGTTGCTGAGAAGAAGCTCGCTCTGTCTAAAGAAGACGAAGAGCGTCTTATGGATGCCTACAATGGCCTACAGACTTTCCCCGAGATCAAGGACGCCTTGGAGATAGTCGAAAATGCTCCCACGATAGACGCATATGTCTTCTCAAACGGCACCGACGACATGGTGGGCACCTCAATGAAGACGTCACCGGACCTGTCCCGTATGAGCCATGTGTTTGGGCCTACCCGGTTGATCACTGTTGAAGAGGTTCATTGCTTCAAACCCTCGCCAAAGACCTATGAACACTTTGCGAGGAAGGTGAGTATGTCTGACCAAAAGTCCGCCATCTGGCTTATCAGTTCAAACCCCTTTGATGCGCTCGGAGCGAGAGCTGCAGGATGGAAGTCAGCCTGGATCGACCGCGCCGGCGTTGGCTGGGTCGATGCTCTGGGTAGCACCATCGGGCAGGAGCCATCCGTCGTTGTCAACGGAGTAGACGAAGCTCTGAGGAAGATTGTGGAGATTTCAAAGTAAATATGCTCGCCGGGCGAATGAACCATTAGGTGACGTCGCGCAAGTTGGAATGTAGGCATAATGCTTGATTCACTTAAGCTTGAGTCGCTTCCCGGAGCCTCTGTCTGCCCATACTTTGACGAGACCGACGGACTTAATGACATCACTGTACGGCTAGATTACTGATATCGTGCATTGAGAGGCTTGCGTACCCTTTTCCTCTTGAAACCCCCTCTATACGCGGGCGTAGCCTCGACGGATAAACGAAACGTTGTTGAAGCCATCATGCCGTTTCCGCATCACAATACCTTGATTGCAGCTCCAACGGCAAAAGTTTCCAACGTGAGAACTAAGGAACAAACAGACTACTGCGCACGCGACTCATCACTCTTGTAACTTTGAACGAGATGGGCCAGGTTCACCACCATCTCGGAATATTTGGCCGCATCAGGAGGGAACCGCGCACTGATGTAATTGTACTCTGTGTCCTCGACCACAAACCTAGAAGCTGTAAGCGAAGGGCAAGTCAGGACGAGAATGTACGTACGGCCGGTTTGGGACCCAACTGGACTTGAACTGGCTGGGGTCTTTGAGCACCTTTTTCATCTGTCGAACCATTAGAGTTGTGCATTTGCATCTGAACCAAACAACTGACTGAAGTCTCGACATTCTCGCTGCCAGCACCGTAGGTCTTGTAGTAGTCGCCTAGAAATAGCCTAGTCCCGTGAAAGGCCACCGACTCGAAGCACGCAGGAAGCGCCGTGGTCGTGCAGTGGTATAGAACGCTGTTTCCATCCTCTCCCTTGGCGTTGCAGAGCACCAGCGGCCCATGACAGATGGCGCCCACGACCTTCTTGCCAGGCTTCTTCGTCTTGGGAAAGTAGTCGGCGAACAGCTTCTGAACGACGGCATTGTCCATGAGCTGGCGCACGTCTTTGTCGTGGCCGCCGGGGATGTGCACGACGTCAAAGTCATCGAGGGAGAAGTCCGGGGCGGTCCACGACAGCGGCTGCTGCATTTCTGCAGATTCCGTCATGGACTCGTACAGCTTCATGGCCGAGGCGGCGGCGCCCTGTCGAACAGCAGCGAGGTCAGCTCGGGTGGACAAGTCATTGGACGGCAGCAGCACGCCGGAAACCGGGGCAGATTGGCGACATGCGAGATCTGCGCGCGCTTAATGCAATTGCTTGTGTTTTGTGACAGTGTGGTCTGGCACGAGGGATGAAGCACGGGTCGTAAATCGAAAAGAAGAGATCGGGGTGCGCACCAGCAGCTTCTGGGAGAGGCCCTCGAGCATCCTGCTATCGCATCGGGGGGTTTTGCCCGTTTCGGTGGCAAAGTTCACGTCGAAGGCAGCATCTTTGAAGGCCTGGTAGGGGACGGCGACCTCTGTGGGAGCATGACACAGATTAGCTTTGCGGTTCGTGACGCAGATCCGGTAGTGGAGGGGTTTTGTGGTGGTAAGGTGCGGCAGGGAAGCGGTCTTGGGACGGAGGAGACTGTGGAGATGGATGCGTGTGTGTGTGTGTGCGCAGTGGTGGACACGGGCGGGATGAGGAGGGGACGGAGAGGAGGGGAGACACCGGGATCATGTCAGTGACATGGGTGCTGCTGACCTGTAGGATCGTGGCCATAGTCGGCCATGATGATGAGGACCTTGACCATTGTGGGTGTGTTTGATGGAGCCGATCGTGCCTAGTGCTAGTGTACCGACGGTGGTGTCTTGTTTACGAGAGGTTCAGCTTGGCCGTCTCGAATGGATAATCCATCAGGTGCTGCAAGGGAGACGACGGCTCGATCGAGACGGCATCGGGACGGTATCTCACCGGGCGTCAGCACCTCATCGCCGCACAATCACGGGTGCCGACTCGCCGGGACGATAAGATGGGTGCGGGCTGATATCCATGATGGCGCTGACCTGAGATTGGTTTAACGGTTGAGCTGACCACTGAAGAACGTTGTGGCCCGACGGCTAAGGTACGAACGGTCCTGTGCGAGGTCGAGTCGACATTGGACGACGGGACCCTGAATATGAAGCAAGCCGGGGGATGGGCAGCTCATTCACCGTGCCCTGCTGCTGCCCCCTTTAGCACTCGTGGCACTAACGCACCAGGACCCGTCCGCTGTGGGTCCCGGCTCGACGTCATCTCTGCCAGATTTTGATCCCCCTCCAAATCTAAATCTTGTATTGCTCCTCTCACACACTCGGCCGTCTCGTCTCCTATCCGTCGCCTGTGCCTTTCCATGGCCTCCCTTGCTCCGTTGCCGGCCGCCCAACGTCGATCATGTCTGACTTTGAAGACGAACTCTTGCGACCTGACTAGACACCTACCTACACTAGACTACCTACCTGGGCACTTAAGGTAGTTAGGGGACAAAAAGTGCAGCGCTACCCGGGAGTCAAGCTTTCAACCGTCTCCAGCGCATAACATCGCCGCCCTCTTGGCCGCCCCCCTTGGCCCCGTCAGTCCCGGCACCGGGTCCAGCCCGTCTGCACATCCTCTTCGCTTGTAGAAATCCCCTCCGCCCGTTTACGCAATTTAAGACCAACAAGCAAGCGCAAGCGCGTCCGTCAGGTATTATCTCCTCGCCATCCCTGCAACGTCACTACCGGAAACCCGGAAACTCCAGCCTGTGTCCACATAAGCCCATTATGACCCCGCGGGTACGGACATGACGACAGCCTTGGCTCTGGGGATATATGTCTCAAGAGCCGCCGCTTTCTCTTTTCCTTCTCGCTTGGAAGGTCATCCATCCATCCATCCGTACCCCTTTTCGACTTGGCACCATGAAGCTCTCAGCAGACGACAGCATGCCCATCGGCGACCTGCAACCAGAACAGGCCCAGCTGGGCGGCACCTACGTCGACACCATCGTCGACGTCTCTGAACAGCTGTTCTACATGAAGCAGCTTCTCCCCCTCGTCAAGCTCCTCGCCCTCGTCTACAAAGTCCGTGCTCCAAGTCCGTCAGAGGAGGATCGCATGAACACCCTCATGCGGACGCTTTCAGGAGACACCCTGAACAAGACGACCACCGACAGGTATCCCCAAGGCTTCACCAGAGACGAGATTATCCAGTCATTCAGCAGGCTGCTCAGCCCCGTCCTCAACGGCCTGAGCGGACTGGACGACTTTGAGAAGGTCATCAGCGCCGGCGAAGACCCTGCTGGTTTCCGGCAGTTCTGGGCCCTCGACGACAGGAATCTGTTCACCGACGCGGTGTCCGGCAAAGGCCCGATGGCGTCCGTCACAGAAACGGATATCCCCTTCCTTGACATCTTCGTCAAGGACAAGACTCGCCGGCTGGCATTGACCCAGGACCACGCCGCTCTCGTTCTCGTCCCTCACGACACCAGACCGGGCGACGAGATTTGGGCCATGTCCCGCACCGAGAAGCTGGTCGTCATCCGCCTCGACGACCCAGAGGCTGCGTCGACGACCGTCGGCATTCTCGGGGAGGCGTACAGCCACGGCTTCTCCAAGGAGCCGCCGCCTCCAAATTGCAAGCAAGTATACAACAGCGCGGAATTCTTGACGTCCTCCGTGGCTGTTGGTCTGGCCGGCGCAGTCCCCAGGTGACTGCGACGTTGCCAAATGAGACGAGAGCCAGCACGATTTGGATCGGCAAAAGCATAATTGGAGAAATTCACGTCTTGGTCAAATTTTACCGCTCATCTTTCAACCAAGGTTCTTGTTGGAGAGGCATCAATAGCAGGCGTTCGGGTTCAGATTGTGGTACGGGAAAAGTGAGCACAGCACATCAAGGCGGGCGCACTGGCGTTCATTGGAGACATGACTTAGTTACACACCAAGCCAGAAAACACCGCGGAGGCATTTTCAGATACCACCACCAAACCAGGCAAAAGATCAAGCAGCCTCAGGGGCATCAGTAGATAGAAAAATCAGAGTTTCGCTTGACAGGCACCTCAGTCCCAAGCGGGGAAGTGAAATGACATTGCCGTAGGGTGCCCTAGCGCAATTAGTCGCTTCGAGACCACCCCTGAACCTTGGGTTGTGGACCCGTTTCGCTCTCCTCGGCGTTCTGGGCCGTAGGACCTACGGAGTAGGATTGGGAGGTTCATCCAAGATTTCGGTAAGCGGTGGACGGACGGAGGAGTCGGTCAGCAATTGAAGCAACTCAATTTTGCCGGCCAATCCGCCACCCGTTGACCTCGACCGTTCAGTTAGGAGATATCGCGGTCAACGGCAACCTCTCACAGCGAGATCAGGGCTGTTGCCGCACTGTTCCGTGAACTCTGCCAGCCATTGTAACAACACGCGACCTCCTGACGAACCTCGCAATGGAGGGCCTGCTCCTGCTGTCCGTGAGGTCCATCGCGGCGGCCATCATGGTCGTCGTCGGGGGCTCCGTGCTGTACTTTTTCAAGCTTCTGATGAAGCACCGCGGCAAGATGGCCGATCTGAAGAAGCAGGGCCTGGTGAGCTGTCTCCCGTCGTCATCTTCATCGTCATCCGAACTGACCGTCACGCGCAGCCCGTGGTCCCTCACAACTTCCTCTTTGGCAACCTCCTCGAGGCCAAAAAGGCCTTTGACAGCCTGCCGCCCGGCGTGCACGCAAACTACGTCCTGGCCAAGCTGGCCGAGCCCTTCCCCAACGGCGCCTTCTACATGGACACCTGGCCGATGGCCGACCCGATGCTCCTCATCACGGACCCGGACATGGCCCACCAGGCCGTCTACCACCCGGTCGTCGGCTCTCAGAAGCCGCCCATGCTCACCGGCTGGTTCCACCCCATCACCGGCGGCCCGAGCCAGTTCGACACCAACGGCCGCCCCTGGAAGCACCTCCAGAACCTCTTCAGTCCCAGCTTCAGCAACCAGAACATCACCGCCGAGGTCCCCATCATCGTCGACGGCATCCGCGTATTCGCCGAAAGGCTGCGCGAACAGGCCCGCAAGGGGGACATGCTCCGCCTGGAGCCCCTCGCGCTGGACCTCATCACCGACATCATCGGCGAGGTCCTGCTCAACGTGCGCCTCGACACGCAGAAGCAGAAACACCCGCTCGCCGAGGCGATGAAGGGCCAGCTGCGGCTCAAGTTCACCGCCCACAAGCCCGAGAACCTGCTGTCGCGCATCGACCCCGTCACCCTCTTCCGCACCTGGAACGGCGGCCGCGTCCTCGACAACCACATCAAGGAGCAGATCGCCGCCCGCTTCCGCGTCCTGCGCGAGAACAAGGCGCACAACCGCGACAAGGCGGAGCGCTTCCAGTCCGTCCTCGACAGCGCCATCGAGAACTGGCTCGCGCAGCCGCAGAACGCGGGGCGCACGGCGCTGGACGCGGACTACCTCAGCATCATGACGCGCAACATGCGCATGTTCTTCTTCGCGGGCTACGACTCGTCGGCGGCCACCATTGTCTACTGCTTCCACAACATATACTCCCGCCCGGACGTCCTCGCGAGGGTGCGCGCCGAACACGACGAGGTTTTTGGCGTCGACGTGGCCTCCGCGCCGGCCAAGATCGTCGAGAATCCAAGTCTGCTCAACTCGCTGCCCTACACGAACGCCTGCATCAAGGAGTCGCTCCGCCTGTTCCCGCCGGCGGGCGGCATCCGCCAGGGCTCCGCGGACCTCGTCCTCAAGGACGCCGAGGGGAACCTGTTCCCGACGGAGGGGATCGCCATCACGATGCTCCACTGGGTCATCGGGCGGAACCCGAGATACTGGGTCAAGCCGGACGAGTTCATCCCGGAGCGGTGGCTCGTGACGGACCCCGCGGACGAGCTCTACCCCCCGCGGGGCGGCTGGCGAATCTTCGAGTACGGGTCGCGGCTATGCGTCGGGCAGCAGCTCGTCATGGTGGAGGCGCGGGCGGTCCTGGCCTGCATCATCAGGGAGTTTGACATACGGGACTCGTTCGCGGAGATTGATGGGGAGCGGAAGCTTGACACAAGCGGGCTTGGCGGGCAGAGGGTGTTCATGGTGGAGGCAGGCGCTGCGCATCCCACGGACGGATATCCGTGTAGGGTTTCGCTGAGCGGATACAAGGCATGATGATGTTGGAGAGATGGCCAGCTCGAGCGAGGATGAGGTTACGCCGTTGCGTTATTCAGAGAGTGATTTGGCAGATGTGATGTCTCGGGCAGAGTGCATAATACAGTATCGCCGAGTTTGCCTTGCCAATCATCCTGTCCCGTACATCCGTGGCTTGCTGTCGTTTACGTCGTACAAGTGTCGTAAGCAGTCTCCGTCTGCCAGATCCAATCGTCTGCACAGAGAGTCAATGAGCAAAATTCGCCTTCTTGACGGAAATCAGGATTCACGTAAGCCCACAGCCCTGTTGCCCCCCTCCTAGCATCTGGACGATGCCATTGGGGTCAAATCCCATCCTTTTGACAGCAAAGAGAAAATCCTTGGCTCGAAATAGACGTCGACGCCTCAAATCCTTTCGGCTCATTGTCGTCGCGTCATCGGATGAACTGGGTCGATTCGCAGTCATGGTTGGCCTCCTAGGAGGATTTGACTAGTTTAGATGAGCTATAGCTAGGCGGCAGCATGTAAGATCTGCCTTGTTGAGTCCTAGTCGTGCAAGTCATTCCTCTACTTTGTCAGCACAGAGGAGCCTGGATTGACAACAACCTCACAAGCACATGCAAAGGATCCTGAAAAAGCATGATTGGTATCGTTGTATAAACG